TGACTGTCTTCAGCTCTCTTTGAGAGCACTGGGGCTAAGCTCTGCTGGTTTAAAAGAAGAGAGATGGAGTCTCAGCTTCTGTTTCATTGTCTGAGTCTCTCGGCAGAGACTGTGATCCGCAGACCTTTGGCCACGGGTGCCAGCTTTATTCTAGCTAAGCCCAGATGGTCGGATGGGATGAATGTGGCAGAGGCTGAGTTGTTATAGCCAAGAATCTGCCTGGCCAGTTTCTTCCCCGTGCCTATTCACCACCTGGGAATTCAGCTCAGTGACTGAGCCATGAAAATAGCCAATAGACTTTTCTTTAAGGTTGTTGGCCTGGAAATACAAGCTGAAAGGACTGAGATTTCAATTGGGTAGAAAAGAGCACAACACTGCAGAAGGCTGTATTGATGGCGTGAAGCGCAGAGGAACTGGCACAAACAGGCAGGGCAGATTTTGTCACCGCTGTAGAGGAGCATGTTACCCTGCATTACTCTATTAATACTAGACAGAGGACTTGCGGAGTAAAGTGTTATCAGTCTGAGTACGAGTAACTGCATGCGGCCTTGCAGGGGACTCCCAGTGTTCACACACACAGCTCTCTGCTGAGGTCTGGTTTTCCATGACCCCAGAACCGAGAACGCGGAGAAAAGAAAATAGGTCTTTCTTTAAGTCACCAATGCTGAAAACCTGAGGCATGAATCAGAAGTTGAAAAAAGAGTGCGGATGCTAAGCATTGACATGAGATCCGCAAACCCGGAAAGAGGCACTCTTCTGTCATTCCCGGCCAAGCACACGGGACTGTCGGAGCAATGATGGATGACAAAGGCCACTGGAGCAAGTAGCCCAGGCATTTGGATAAATCAAATGCAATCAGTTTGTTCTGCTGAAAAATCTAGCCTGCTGGTGAGCGGTAACTGCTGTACTAGTTTTGGGGTGGCCAAGGCAGGTTATGCAGACGAACAATAGCTCGGAAAACTGTCAGCACAAATTTGTTCCCTGTTAGTGCAGGTCAAAGCCGGTGTAACGTCATCAAAAGTGACGTGGAGTTACGCAGGGCTGTTACGAGGGGAGAGAAGGGAAGCCAGCGTGGAGAACGTTGCAAGATGCATTCTCCGCTATGCTTCAGCCACTTTCATCAGCTTCAACCGTTGGAGTTACATCAGGAATAACACTGGCCCTTTGTGACTAAAGGTTGACAGAGCAGAGCGTGCTTTCTGCTTACCCAGCGTATGGAGCCATGACACAGAAACTCCATCTTGTGACCCTTTCAGGAGAGCTCTTAGCCCTAGTGAACATAGTGGGCCTTTAAGGGCCACGTTCTGTTTTAACTCTACTGGTGTCAACCCAGAATAACCCAGCAGCCTCCAGCAGCGTTACTTTGCATTCATGGCTGTGTAACTGAGGTCAGAATCTGTCTCTCAGCCCCATTGTTTTTCAAGAGGTTATTTTAAAAGGCCCCGTTCCAGGGCTGCTGAAGTTATCTGTGCCTCTGGGTATGGGAGAGTCACAACCAGACCCCTCCTCCCCAAGAAACAAAATATATGCCGCAGTTCATGTGGATCCTGCAGGTAAATTGAATTTCCCTTTTGAAAGGCCACAAGGGAGCAGCAGAAACATTCCTCGTGCTCCTTTCACTGGCTGCCAGGCAAGTGCGTGCTGAAAGGAAAAATGGGAAGAAATGGATCAAAGCTGCAAAAATCAAAAAACCAGAAAAAACCAGGGAACCAAATAAAACACAGAAATTAGGCTGCCTCATGCAGGACTTCTGCTTTCTCTGTCTGAATGGGATTTGTTTCTGTCAATGCTTTTTCCTAACGAAAAGCCTTCGGAAGATGTAATCAGGACTCGTAGTAGAGGTGATATCTTTTATTACACCAACAAGATTTTTGCAAAAAAAAGTCTTTTGTTTTATTAGACCAACAAGATTTTTGCAAACATTTTTTTAAAAATCGCAAGCTTTTGGGCACAAACACCCTTCATCAGGCATTGGAAAAACGACTGTGCTACGTTCTAAAGATGTAGCATTCAGGTAGGAGCTTTGGTACAGTAACCCAGGCCTGTAGATGTGCCTGGCCATTATGTGAGAGAGCCGGCAAAAGAAACTCCCCACACCTCAGCAGTGACGTGTTTTTGATCAGGACATTGTCCATCCACTAGAAGTTGCCAGGTAGGCCAATGGTGCCTGGTAAACAAGAGACAAAGCTGAAACTCAAGTGGTGTGTGGCTTTTTTGGGACCCCCTTTCCAGTGAGCATCAAACCCAGAAATGAAGTGATCGCACCAGAAACCCAGGCCAGGAGCACGGTGCTGGGAACACCCATAGGGAGCCCTCCCCACCTCATGTCTGGGGTCGACAGGTGCAGAGCAGAAGCAGGTGGCTAGGGCTTATTCCCTCACCTGAACTCTGCCACTGTGGTGTAGATATGCCTATAGTCTCTGGAAAACTCAACCTGTACGGGTGGGCTTGCTCCACACCCCTTGGCTTGCTGATATGGAGCTCTCTGCAGGGTTTGAAATAAAGGCTAGTCTCCATTCTCAGAAAGAGAGACTGCTCATTTGCATTTCAAGACGTGCAAGGGGGACGAAATGATGCTGGTTGTTGTGAGGTGAACCTGAGCCACGCATTTCCAAATGCAAGCAAGAGTAACACTCTGGGCAGCATCAGCATCTCCTGTGCCACGAGCAAAAAGCACCGGTCTGCGGTTAGGCCTCAAGACATCCCACAGCACCATCATTCCCTTTCGAAAAAATGGAGAAAGCGGGACTCAGTCTGCACTACAAAATGTGACTTGCTTTTCTGTGTTAGGGGCATGAAAAGATCACACCCCATCAACTGACATGGCTCTGTTGATAGCCTCCCACTCCCTCTGGATGCCGATAAAAGAGGGCTCTGATGGCAGAACCGCTGTTGGCTGGGGAGATGGTGAAGAGAGGCTGTGCCCATGTGGGACTCTCTCACTATAACCATGCTATGGGGCAGCAGCCCCATAATATAGACAAGTCTTTAGTCCTAGGAACGTGGTGCAACTTGCTTCAGGTTATAGAGGAAAAGCTCATGGTCCCCAGGGTGTGCTTGACCTAGAAGGACATTGGTCCTGGCTTCTTCCCCCTGGCCCTCACGTCCACCGCTAGCATTTCCACTGGTTCAAGACCTGCTAACAGATGCTCATAACCCAGAAAAACACATCTGTCTGTCTGTCTGCCCAAGGTCACGTAAGATCGCATCCGCAGACTGTTTTTATTTCTCCTCGGTGCCGGCCCTTTCTGTTTATGCAGCTGCTGAACAAGTGTCCCCTCTCAGCTGGCACCACCCCACACAGCCACCAGAAATAAAAGCAGGAGGATGCTGCCAGGGAGACTATCTGCTCTTCCAAAGCAGGTGAGGTAAGTGCTTTGGCTCCTGTCCAAGCCCAGCTATTAAAATGGGAGTTACAACCGTTACTACTACAGATCTGCTCCAACTGGACAAGCTGTGTGCCGGGCTGGCTCTGTAATGCTGCCTCTGCCGGCAAACCAGTGGAGAATCTCACCCCTGTGCAGAGTGCCAATGTGAGGACCAGCCATTATCTAAGTGCAATGGTCGCTCTGCTCCCAGGACCTGTGGGACGAGCCCATTTTATGTCTTTCCATTTAGAGGTGCCTAGGTGATGTGCTGGCTATCTGCGCTGGGGTAAATTTTCCCCCCCATGGCCACTGCAGCCATGAGATACTTCCCATCAGATCCATAGTGTCCCATGCGAGGCTGCTGCGATGGAACTGTAAATGCTGGTTAAACTTTCATTTTCTGACCCAGGCAATTTATAATTAAGCCCACTGAGTTTATGGCACAGCCATCCACCTGAAAGCTGGGACATGCAGAGGGTAGCTGGCACACCCTCCAGGTCCTCAAAGATAACAAAGGGCTAAGGGTGCCCTCATACCTCTGAGGATCCACACCTTGGCCCTTATCCAGCTGGCTATGACTAGCTGTTGAACCTGAACAAGGTGTGAAGCATCTTCTGTTTGGTGTCCCCTGCAGGGCCAAAGGCAGCTTTAAGGCGGCGTGGTCTGGACTGGAAGTCAGGAAATCTGGAGTCTGTTCTTGCCTCTGCCAATGGCTTGCTGGGTGATCTTTAGAAAGTTACTTCTCTGTCTTGCTGCCATTTCCCTCCTTGCATTAGCGCCGATGTTGCTTGAGGATCGGACAATTTGAGATGAGAAAGTTACCAAAGTAGTGGACAAACAAAGAGACTGTGTGCTCTATGTTGCTACCCTGGGGAGACAGGAGCAACCTAGGAATTCTTGTTTGAGCAACGGGGACTCCAGAAACTAACACCCCACACGCTCAGCAGAGGATCTGAGGCCGCGATACCACCGAAGGTCGCTGTTGTAATGTCTGAAGGACCCACTTGCCAGGTTGTATTACAGGGAGGAAACTTGTAATAAAGCATAGGGATTACTATTAAAGTTCACTAGATACCAAATTGGACGAGGGGCCATGTCGATCCTTGGGCGTCTCTGGTACAAGGAATCCTAGTGGCAACAGAGAGCAGGGATTTCGCAGCTGCTCCCGGGCGGACGACACGGTGCGCTCCAGCGTGTTAAAGCCACTCCTGCTGTGCACAAGCGTGGCTCTTTTGTCCTCGCCGCTTCAACCACGGGCGTGCTGGAGCAGAGCCAGGCACGTACTGCTCCTTCACACGGCCTTCTGCACGGGGCGGGCTGCCCCAGGGGCAGAGTTAAGGTGATGGCGAGGAGCAAGCAGCCCTCAGACCCGCCCCTATCCGAGGGGGAGGGGCCAATGGCTAGGGGCGGGGCCCAAACGGGACAAGCCCCAACGGGGGGCGGGGCCCAGCCCGAGGCGAGGCCCAATGGTTAGGGAGCGGGGCGCAGATAGGGCAGGGGGCGTAGCCAGGCGGCAGGGGGCGTGGCTGCGCTCAGTAGCAGGCGG